GAGCTGCGTTCTAAATTTGAAAGCAGTATTTGCATATTCCACAAAGGGATCTCTTTATCGGCAACCCTGCAGAAAAAAAAAATCGCGTAGCTCGGAAGGTATTGGGATGCAAATTGCTGAAAGTTTATATGCTGAGTCACGTTGAGGAGGTTTATTTTTCCCTGCTGCTGGGTTCCATTTGTTGATGTCTCCCAAGGGGACTGAAAATCATGGTTGATGAGGTGTGGGGGAGAGATTTCAGCCCAGACTTTTTCCCAATCTGACTTTATGGGACCGTGGCTTTAACGGACTCAGCTGAATTTACTACTTTTCAGAAGTAGTCAACTCGTATTTTTAAATTACTTGCTTTTTTCTTTCGTATATCGTGACAGGGTTTGGCAAAAAGAAACCGACAATATTTCTGGAAAAAATTCAGGGAAACAATCATTTTTGTTTTGGGGAAAATGAAGAAGACTTGCAAGAAATTTTATTCGGTGATAGTCCTTAAATTGCTTCTTGAATGAGTTGACCGGATGCTGAATTTGGAGGCAAGTGTTCATTTGCCCATTTTGCTCTTCAAATTGCATAAAGTTACATTTTTTCGTCTTTAGTCTTTCCCGCGTCAATGAAATAATAACAGGAAGTGTTTCCAGAAAATTCAAGTTGCTTAGTTTTGAGGAGGAAAGTCATCGAGTTCGGGGGTGTTTGAAATATTTTTTTCAGTGAGGCATTCATCTGTGTTAAATTTATGCTGATCCGAAAGCTAATTTCGAGGAAGGAAAAAAAAACCAAAATTTACCCAGATGAGAATGTGAATTATGGTATCTTTTTTTTTTAGTGACGTTCACTCTCATATCGCATGGCATTAATGTCGTGGAAAACAGTGACGCATGAATGTGTAAGTGTGCCAAGTAGCATACTTTTCCACATATATTTATCTGTGAAACTGGAAACTTGTCGAGGATCCCCCGCCTTTCCAGCTATAGAAAGGGGGAGCTGGAGAAATAGACACATAAATCTTGGTGTTATGGGTGCCCTGAGCTCATTCATTTGCAGATTGAAGTATAGTTTGCAGTCCTTGCGGGGGGAAAACTTGGATTCCCTTCGGGGGTTTTCAAGAGTAGTAGTAGTAGTAGTAGTGTGGGGGGAGAAAACCCAACGACCCATGGAGCACTTCCCTTCATGACTGGGAAGGCCGGGATTTGCTGCAACAAGATGGATCATCACAAGGGGATGCACTTTTGTGATTGTGTATTCAGGGAAACAATCATTTTTGTTTTGGGGAAAATGAAGAAGACTTGCAAGAAATTTTATTCGGTGATAGTCCTTAAATTGCTTCTTGAATGAGTTGACCGGATGCTGAATTTGGAGGCAAGTGTTAATTTGCCCATTTTGTTCTTCAAATCGCATAAATTTACATTTTTTTGGCTTTTGTCTTTCCCGTGTCAATAAAATAATAGCCAGAAGTGTTCCAGAAAATTCAAGTTGTGTTGTTTTGAGGAGGAAAGTCATCGAGTTCGGGGGTGTTCAAAGAATTTTTTTCAGTGAGGCATCCAACTGTGTTGAATTTATGCTGATTCGAAATCTAATTTCGAGGAAGGAAAAAAAACCAAAATTTACCCAGATGAGAATGTGAATTATGGCATCTTATATATATTTTTAGTGACATTCACTGTCATATCGCATGACTTTAATGTCGTGGAAAACAGTGACGCATGAATGTGTAAGTGTGCCAAGTAGCATACTTTTTCACATACTGTATATTTATCTGTGAAACTAGAAACTTGTCGAGGATCCCCCGCCTTTCCAGCTATAGAAAGGGGGAGCTGGAGAAATAGACACATAAATCTTGGTGTTATGGGTGCCCTGAGCTCATTCATTTGCAGATTGAAGTATAGTTCGCAGTCCTTGCGGGGGGAAAACTTGGATTCCCTTCGGGGGTTTTCAAGTCATCATCATCATCACACCCCCCTCTTTTGGGTTGCTGGGTACCTCGTGAAGGGAAGTACTGACCCTTCCGGCCCTAAACGACGTTGTTCTACCTAGTAGTGTTCCCCTACGTGAAAACACTAACACTGTCTGCCCCAATTAATGCGTCATTTGATGCTTCATTTCGGAAACTTCCTGCCTGCATACATTTTCACCGAATACCTCTCCTATAATGCATGTGCTTCCAACATTTGATGAGTCTTCTCCAAGTTTTGGAGTTGAAAAATAAAATAAAATACTGTCGGACTCACTCTCTCCAGCTTCTACGATCTTGTCTACAAGGATATTTTTTGTATAACGAAATTTATTTTTGGTCCCATCTCCTTGTTTGAGGCCAAGAGACACGTTGTTTAAACAAAGACCATGTCATAAAACTTATAGCGGAGTCAATTTCAAGTGAAAGCTATCTTTTGAACTCTCTAAAAATATAATTTTACACCTTCACAAAGACTTTAAAATATCTTTTGATGCATGATTGCAGTACTGTATTCTTGCCAGTTTTATTTGCTTTTAATTACAGTACTCAATTTACTCAAGTACCACATATACTTTTTTCTAAGTTAAAGCAGAAAAGTGGGGTGCGCAGGTATGCATTAAAAATCATGAAATGTGTATCAGAAGTCAGTCTCAGGTGAAAAATTGACAGAAAATCCTGTTTGGCTGTCACCAACGCTGATGCAATTCTTCGTGTTCTTTTATTTATTTGCAGGGTTCTTTTGTTGAACGTGTTATTCGAGTGAATGCGATAATCAGAAGATTTCATGGGGTCAAAAATCACTTATTTTTCTTATTTCTTATATTTCAACAAGGTTGCATCATTTTTTGTCACTGATTTCAGTGAAGGATGCCTTTTTTAAATAACTGCGATTATTTGGCTGAGAATTAAAACTGTAGAAAAATATGTTCAGGATTGAAAATAAAGCTTCTCAACAATAAGGGTCAAAATTTCGCGAAATTCTCAGACGAAATGCCAATTCCATTGATGTATGCAAAAGTGTGCTCCACCAGATTGACTGAAAATATTTTAAAATTAATTTCGCTCAAGAGCATCCTCTGTATCTTTCAAAAGTAATCAATAGGAGAAAGAAATATACTTCCCATATGACTTATAAGGTAGATTTAGTTTGATTTTCAATGTCCGAATTTTTGCAAACGATACCAATTTCATGAAAAAAATTTTAAGTTTTAAAGTCTCTGTGGTGTCTATTATTTCGCTTCAATTTCCAAAAATAACTGTCCTGTTTATGAAGTTCTCTTCCTCGATAACCTTTAACTTCGATGCGAATAGGCTCATCAATGACTGCTTAATAACAAAAAAGACACTAGGTTAGGTGCTTTCAATTTTAGGGAACTAGTTATTAGACTATATCATATTGGGTCGAAGTCCATAAGCTGAGAAGTCGTTCAATTGAGCCGCAAATGCTAATAATTCACGCATTGAAGCCGGGGGTTTTGTGACGGAATGGCTGGTAATTACAAGAGGCCTGCACCTGAGATTACGCCAAGGCGTGTCATTAAGTTACTGGTGCCCAGGAAAACCCCAGAGGGGGAATTGATGATTGCTGCTGCGTAACTCGTTCTTCAACGCGGTTAGTTACCCGAAAAATGCGTGATTTTAATGACAGACGACCCCCATGGGACCGGGGACTACCCATAGACCCTTTGACACAATGAAAAGAAGACTCTACCCATCGGGTACAACAAACTCCACTATCACCTCATCCTTCTCGGAACTTTATAGGTGAAACATAATTTTTGTGCAAGGTGGACTGGAAATCTTGGTTTGAGAAGCTTAAAATTGAAATAATTCACTCATTTTGGTTCCTTTTGACCTCCTGGTCTCAACTCAAAGCTAAATCATATTTGCTTCCCGGAATCAGAAGAGCCCGTCATTCGCTGTGAAATAATTGTGCACGAAGTTTCGAGAACATTTCGCTGTATTTCAAAAGACCAAATCGAAAGCGCCACCAAATACGTGTACAACATCTTAAAATTACTGTCTGCTGGGGGTACCCTGGCCCCTGATGGGTATCTGGGAAACTGTGTTACTTTTCTTCTGAGATGGGTAGCCCATGTTGTTTGAGGTGATAGTGGAGTAGGAAGAGCCTTGAAATAGGTGAAACATAATTTTTGTGCAAGGTGGACTGGAAATCTTGGTTTGAGCTTTATGTATATAGGTTAGATGGGAAAATTCCTGGATAGTTTTGTTCTATTAATATTCAAAGCTTAAAATTGAAATAATTCACTCATTTTGGTTCCTTGAGGAAACTTGACCTCCTGGTCTCAACTCAAAGCAAAATCATCATTATTTGCTTCCCGGAATCAGAAGAGCCCGTCATTCGCTGTGAAATAATTGTGCACGAAGTTTCGAGAACATTTCGCTGTATTTCAAAAGACCAAATCGAAAGCGCCACCAAATACGTGTACAACATCATCGCAATCGATTTCCTCCCCAAAAAAGTTAAGCATCTTTTCTCTCTTTTTTTTTTTAGTCGTGAGATCAGATTCCTGGAACATTCGGCCACAATTGAAATAATAGAAGCATCTTTCTAGAAGAAAAATTCTCTTTTTTTTTTTTTACACATACAAGCTACTTTTTTCCCACGTCAAAGTTGGAGAAAATCCGACTCTCGGAACCATTGGTGGCTAATGCTCAAGTCAAATATTTACAAACCCAGGGAAAGACAGATAAAAACGCTCACTCGTGCCAATCGGAATCCGTGGTACAAAACAATCGCGCAACAATATGTCTCATTTGTCGTGCTGATCTTTTTCTCGTTATCATTCATATCTAGGATTACAAACAAACTGAGAACATGGATCACATCGAATTCATCACAATGACGCGCGACTTTTTTTTCATTTCGCGCGAAAATTTAATTTTGGGGAGATACGTTCATAATACGAGGAGGGCTTTCTCCGAATCCCAACCTAGATTTTGAGAAAACCCCCGAATTTCTGGAGAAAAGGGTTCAGCAACAGCACCTCGTATAAAAACTATCTTCTTTTATGTGACATTTTTTCCAGAAAAACTACACTTGGGTGACAGTGCGAACCTTTTTATGATCAACACTACCGACTGAACAATGGGACTCATTCAATCGAGTACCGACGTCCCCATACGCGGGTTTCGGCGGTACTGGAGGCGGAGGACCCTTGAAACCCGGCTGCTGGGTTTGCTGAAGCTGCTGTTGGTTTCCCGGATAGCCATAATTGTGCACTCCTCCACCAGCACTGAGGGTGTCTGCAGAAAAGTGCACAAATTTCTTGGTGTCACTATGAGACGAGTTGGTATCTGATTGCTGCGAGGATTGGTACGACATCCGATCTGACGAGCTCACCTGGAAATTGCCAAAAATTGAAGGTTAGTCGATGTTAAAGACGTGGATAAAAATTGTTATGTCGAACAGTTTCTCTCACAAAATTACCTCTAACACGTTTTTTTTTGTAGCTACTTCAATAGATAATACAATTTTCAAAAAACATGTAAATATCGGAACGATTGAACTAAATGTGAATCAAAAAAGTTATCGACCTGTGGATAATTCGACATATTTTAATAAAATTGCTGATGAATTTTAGGCCGAATTACAAGAAACAAACATATCTTCGACAAAATTTTCTCACCAAATTCCCATTCATCTAGCTAAAATTACTTCCAGCACACTTTGAGTTGATGCACCAATTAAGACGGGGTCTTTTCCTTTAGATATGTTTTGGCCTTCAGAATAGCAAAATTTCCTCTAAACTTGGCATCCATTGTGCAACCTGTTTAGAATTAATTTTGGGGAAGTGTAATTTGTTGAAAACTTACCAAGCGCTGGGTTTCCAAGCACATGAGGCTGCCCAACATCATTCAAACCTGGACCAAGGGTCAGACTCGTCCCCGTATGCATAAGCCCAGCATTATAACGACGCGCTTTATGCGGCTTATTAGTTGTGGGTGCGGTATCCCAACGAGCTGCTGGTCTCCGTAATAACAAGAATGCGAATCCAGGATCTGACTAGCTGCCACAAACTGGTGTCGCATCGCAGCTGACGACACTTCATCCGCCGTCACGGGCGACGACGCATCCACCACCACTTGCATGGGTTTGGCGTCCAGGGACGCCACAACGTCCGGTGCCACGATAACACTCCCACCAACGCCGCCTTGCCCACTTGTCGGTTTATCCAATGCCGCCTTGCTGTGTCGACGCCTAACGCAATACGTGACACACAGGATCAAGGCGACAGCGACGAAGACAAAGGACACGACAGCCACTGCGATGACGATGAAAGTGGCTCTGTGTGTCGACATGACGTCGGAGGGAAGAGCAAAAGTGCCACGGGTCGGGCCTTCGACGGCGTCGGTGTTGTCGAGTGGTGGCGAGTCGGTGATGGGCACTGGGAGAGACGCCACGACGGCATTGGACATGCGGGACTGGCGTCCGTGGGTGGCACGGATGGCGAAGTGGTACCTGGTGCCGGGTTCCAGGCCGAATTGCCCGACTTGCAGGTCCAGGTGTTCGGGTTTCCCGGCTGGGCCGGGTTTCGGCGTCGGGATCACTGTGCCTCCGTGTTCCAGCCACAGTTCTGACCGGTTGGATGAATATCGCAGCTCGTACTTGTCAGCTGAAAAGAGAAAAATTCGAAAAAAGAGAACGTCAGTAATTGTGGAAATGAAGTATGGTTTTTCTTTCAAATAATCATCGATTATCTGTTTGCATGAAAAGGAGCCCAAAAATCAAGTTAGGTAAGGTTTAATGGGAATTGATAAGGAAAATTTTGACCCGACTTGAGACTATTGAAGATAAATCTGGGGAAAAGCATAAAGACCTCTGAAAAATTTTAGAGGTCTTGTTCATCAATCGCCGCCCATTCAACAGTTAACCACACCCCCTGTGGCAAGAAGAGCAACACAGGCAAAAAAATATATCCCCAAAATACAGGTGTATTCTCTGCATAACGATTTGTTTTCTGAACCCTCGAATTTCGTTGTAAAGAGAGTCCACCTGTGTCAATAAAGGCACGAGGCAAAATTTCGAATCATTCGTCCAAAAAAAAAAAAAATCATAAGAGTAGCGAAACGAGGAAAATAATTTTCAAATATTCCTCAACACCCGAAATTCTTGCTGAGAATGACGAAATCCCACCGACCGGCTTCTAACAAAAAAAAAAAAAAAAAAGAGCTGGGAGTCCTTTTCATACACAGGTAATGAAGTCACTAGTGATCGATGCCTTTACAATTCAACCCCAAGAGAGAGAGATTCTTGTTAGATGGGAGAAATAAATTCTCCTTTTTCCAGAAGAAAAAACAACAAGTATTTCCACACCGGAGTCGTTCATCTTGGTCTCAACTCAACCTCGCGCTCGGGGTGACAATTTCAGAACTCCCCTGCTGAAGACGTTCGTTCCTTCGTTCGTTCAAGAACAAAGATTCATTTTATTTCTCCCACTTTCTAACTGGAAAAAGGAGAAGAAAAGTAGTAGAAGACCTGTTTATAGAGTCTATTCCATTCCGAAGGGAGTGAGAGGCGTGAGGCGATTGTGGAAGCAGCCGCCTGCGACCTTTTGATCGCCTGATATTCCGCCTTCATGAAGACGGATGACTCGCTGTCACGTCTTCGCCACCATCCTCGGCAAATAAGAGAATCATCTATTATCTTTTTCAGAAAAATTTAAAACAAGCAAGAGACCGATCCACTCCCCCACTATTACGAAACTTTCCCCGCCGTGCAAAATTTGGCGCCGTTGGTCGTGACAAATCTCTATACATGCAGAAAAATCAAAAATCATAAATTTAAAAGGCGAAAGTACTTTCAAGTACCATATTCACAAGTCGCATAAACTTTCGTAGTCATTTTCTCCAGGTAAATTCTAAATTCTCGAATCTGAAACTCAAACCCGGAGCAATTCTTTCGAAATTTGCCATGATGAACTTATTCTGAAGAAAAAATTTAATTTAGCCGCGTTACAGTTTTCGTATTATTATTTTTTTCTTGGCGGCCCAGGGATTAAAAATTTAACGACTTCTCATCTAAAGTTGGGGATGAAACCCCGAAGTTTATTCCAGGGCCGGAACAGACCGCAATTAAACCGTCCAGCAAACGTCAATCACTTGCAGCAGTGGGGAAAAACACTCCGCCAAGTTAATCGAATTCTTTCCGCTTTTGACTCACTCCAAGGAAAAAAAAAATTATTTTTCCCCTGAGAAGTCAATCACTTTGAGTCCAGGGAATTTTTACATCAAGTCGCAGGAGAAAAAAACAATCGCGGGAGCGAAAACGAGGTACATGTGATAACTGGCTCGCATTAATCACCCTAATTAGGCTTATTCTCTCTCCCCCCCCCCCTCTTCAAGCGACACTCTCGACAAGGGGCCCTAATTGGAAATTCCAGCCAGGCACCAAACCGGAAATAAATCACTGAACCCCAGCACGGTATAAACACAAGAAATTTTTTTTTCGGGTGGGCGACTTTCGACCTACTCTTTCGGTACTGCGGAGCTGAAAATGGACAACAGCCGGGCTGTAAAGTGTTGTGACAGGGGATCATCAATCCCGGCTCGGATGTGTTTGGGTCTGTTTAAAATTTGCCGCACTTTTGATGACCAAGGGCGAACGAACGAAAAATTACATTAGATGAACTAAATAAATAAATAGAAAATTGAACGATTAGAAGTTTTAGAACCCCGAGTATTTAAGGTACTCAGAGTTACCAATTTTAAGAATCCACTTTCGATAAAAAAAATCATTTTCCGCAACGTTTCCTTGCGGAAGAAAAATCATGCCTGGCGCCGAAAATCAACACAAATTTAAGTAGTATTTCAAAATTTTGAACACGGAAACCTTTTTTAGATTAGAAATGACAATAGACACAAAAAGTTACCACATATGTGAAGCACAAGAAAATTAATGAAATTATACTCCTCATTTCACTGGAATGTAATTAGTTCCTATCAAACATATTCAAGTTTCAAACGTGATACAGGAGATACTCAGAGTTACCAAATTCATCTCACCATTATTTCCTCCCACATTATCCTTCAAAGAAACTAAGCCTGCATTTTAAATGACACTGAAATTCAAATAAAACTTTGAGCTTGGATAATAACCGTTGGAAACCTCGGCCAGGATACCAGAAAACACGGTCAAATAAACTAAGCCCCCTCAGGGCAGGACACAGTGCAACGGGAGCAGGAACAAGTGCGGGACTAACAAGCGCGGCGACTTTAATTCAATTTCAAAAGCCGGGTCCGCAGAGGAAATCATCATCATCATCAACAAAACAAAACAAAATCTACTTTTAGTGTGGGGGTCGAGGAAAAAAAAAAAGGCCCTCAGGGGTGGTGGGGGGAAATCGTAGGAAGAAAGAATAGGTAATGAAACCTGCGAGATTCATTAGCGGGCGTGAATTTTTCACTGTCAAACCCAGACCCGAGATTTCTCCTCGCATTTTTATCTGATGGCGTTGGAGCCGTTTTCGCAATTAAAACATTTATGATGGTGGCAAAGAGAAGAAGGAGAGAAAACAGACCATTTGCTGAGGCAATATGGCCCCCTTTTTTTCGTTGGAATAGATTTTCTTTCCGCTCATATCGTATCCTTACCACGCATCATTTCCTTCAGGGCCGGAACTTTCGTTTCTAAATTACAAATCATTCCAATCCTGTCGATTTTCTTTTTTCTTTTAAGGAGAGTGGCAAAGAGATTTTAATGTGGAATAATAATCCAGACGTCAGAAAACAAAATCAACCTTGGAATTTGCTAAAAATCTCTCTTAGACATACTCGAAGAGCTTCGATTTCCATCAATTCCCTCAACGGTTTCGTAATTAACGTAAATATGACTAAGAACTAATTTATTATTCACAGACTAGAAAACAATTGCAATACAGTGTCAAATTTTAGTTCAATACGAAAAAAAGTACGCTCGTGCATGAAATTCGAACTTTTCAAAGATTTTATTTACATTATTGGACGAGTATTACTTATATGAAAAAATAATAATGTGAATAAGAAGTTGCTCAGGGCAAAAATATCAAACGCGGACAAACGTTGACACGAATTTTAAATCGCCAGAATAATGCAAAAAAGTGTGCGTAAAATCGCTCGAGACACCTTTTCTGCCAGAAAAATAAAAAAGAACCCCTTATATAGGTTGCAAAATGTGCACAGAAGAAAAAAAAGAGTGTCGAGTGTTGACTCACCAATGCCGTGATTGTAATTGCCACCAGGGGCAGTCCAGGCCAGATGGAAGACCCCGAGTCCGACGTCTACTCTGGCCCTCAGGTCAAGGATTCTGTTTGGCGGGTAAACATCTCCCACGGGTCCCAAGGGTACCGTGAAGGTCGGACCCGGCAAAATCCGCTTGAACGCCGGCAGCGCCGTCATTGTCCCACTTTCCTCGCAGCAAATGTCTGCAAAAATTGAGTATGAATAATTTACGACCTTCTTCAAGTGGTGATTTCACTGGCTATTACTCCTTTTTTTTTTAAATATAACACTAAGCATAAAATTATGAATACTTGCTTGGTTGGTTCATAAATTCAAAAGAACATTGAACACGCAATCAACCCTTGGGCTGCAGAGATGAGATACTTTTTTCCATCAAAAATGATTTCATTATGCCAGACATTCCGCAAAATGATATAATTCAACTATCAAAAGACTCAGGATTCACAGATGAACTTAATTAAAAGTTACTCTCTCAAATCGAAGATTCTCTCTAAATTTTTAAGCAATTAAAATAAAAACCTTTTGCTCGAATTCGTGCTCAGTAATTGCCTAGTGCTTTTACTTTCGCCATTTTCAGAAATAAATGGCAACTCTTTATTCATGCAGATCTGTATATGTACTGAATTATTTTTTCGTACCTCAGAATGTGCCGAGAGGATGTGAGAACATTTTGAGAACACTGACAAGCGGCAAATAAAGCTCGTAAATTAATCAAAATCTGTTTCCTTTTTAAAGAAAAGCACACATGATTTCTCTTTTTTCTGCATTTTCCTCTTGGATTCGGAGCATTTGATAAACTTCTGTCAAGTCATAACCAGCTGAATACAGTATAAGCAAACAAAATCTGAAAACGTCTTTGCTGGGAAATATAGAGAAGAATCCCTCCGGGTTCCGAGGGTTCATCCATTGGATATGTATTCTTCATATTTCTTCTTTTTTTAAATAGAGAACTAGTCAACAGACTCCCTTTGTAACGGTTCCCAACAAGCTTGTGTAATATGCTTCAGGTTTCAAGCAAAGCAACAAAAATAGAATAAATGAATAACTCACCGAGACTGGAAAGCCCGCTGGGATCAGCAGAGTCATCAGCCATCAACTTGGGTTCTCGCCCGACAATCGTTGGCACTCGTGCGCCGCCATCTGTCGCTGTCGCAACCCAGGTTATCTGGTATTTCACGTCCTGTTCGGACGCCAGGAAACCCGTGAAGTACCCGGAATACACGCCGTCAGACTTGGTTGAATCCGGGTCTGCGTAAGAAAAAAACAGGGAAAAAAATAAGGAAAAATTACAGCAAGCGAAACACCCAGTCAGGTACCAACGTTTTTTTTTTTTTTTTAATATTTTTATGCAATGGTCTGGATCATAAGTTTCAATGCAAAATTTTGTAGGTGTTTTGGCATAAAAAAAGGACTACACACAAGAATTGTTTCAACAAGAAATTAAGTTCTCGTACAGTTGAATTAAGGTGTATTTCGTGATTCGCACACGCGAAATCATTTATCTCGCTAAGCCAATTGAAATCATGCAGATATTTTGTACATATTTGACTTCCTTACTGAAAAATTTTCAGGTAAATTAAAAAACTTCAGCCTTTTGGAACTGAATATTTTATTGCAGCTTAATATGTGACTATAACCCCGTGCAGACAACAACTGAAGAACAGTTATCTTCAAAAATTGTTTTCCTTTATTTGAAAATGACTTAGAAACTCGCGAACACAATTAAATTTCGAATTAATGACACAACTTTTGAAATATTCCTGCTGCTCGAAAACTTAACATAAATCAAGGACCTGGGTTCGTTTTGCAACTCAACTCCCAGCAGTCAACGTCACACCGAGGATTTTCTGGCTTTTTCCCCATGAGATTTCCTTTCATAGAAAATTATTTTTTATTATAATGAATCTTAGGGAAATATAAATTTGTGAGAAAAAACAAGAAGGGCTTTTCCTGGTGATTACAAAGGCGTGAAACCCTGTCGAGGCAAATGATCGTCTCCTGCGCACCTCCATGTTTCACTTCGAATCAACCTCAAGCAAACCTCGTTGATTCCCCTCCAGACAGAAACAAGGATTGGAACAGCTTCCTCTTTTATTCATAAAAGTAAATATATTTATTTAGACATGGAAATATATATTGATTTTATGTGAGCTAGAGAAGAAAAAAAAAACGGAATCCATCATTCTTTTTCCGATAAGGCAAAAGAGTGTCGGCGTGTTTTATCCCCGCCAAGTGAAAGATGACAAGTTGATGACTAGGTTTGAAGCTCGGGGTCAGTGTTTCTCTGTCTTCTGCTTCTCGGCCCAAAGAACGAACCCCTTTTTTGCTCTCTCCCTCCCCTCTGGTCGGGTTTCACTTTCGCTGTGCTCATCAGGTCAGTCCGAAGCAGGAAAGGTCAAGCCGAGTGCCGAAATGGAATTATCCAATAACTCACCGAGTAAATTAGCGGGTTGGAAGGAAAAGGTCCGACGGGACTTTCGAATAAATTTCCGATCGTGCGGGTTGTAACTTTTATGCGATTGGGTTATGAGTGCACTTTAATTTTCCCACAAATTTCCGGAGAAGGTTTGAATTTTTTTTCGGATATGAAATACGGTTTTTTTTTTTTTTTCTCTTTTGCTGAGTGAAAAGGATCGTGAATCGTGAGATAGGATTGCATGGGTTCCACTTGAACATTTCACTTGATAGCAGTGCATAATATTTTATGCAAAAAAAATCGGCATATCCGCAGAAAATTCTCTATGACTGTCTGGATCATTATCTATCTTGAAAATTTCTTAAAAATCATGACTTAAATTTCCTGAAGGAGGAGGACATTTTCCGAAATAATGATTGAAGCAGGAAAAATATAATGCGATTGAAAATCCTACACAAAACCCAACAACTTCTCTCACCATTCAATTCATGTGCGTATTTTCTCAAAGAAAATTCAAAGGCATTGCCAATAGAAAAAAATTGAACAGAATATCGTTACAATCAAGCATTTTTTGCCTTGAAAAAGCTTAGTTTTAAACGAAAATTCGATGAACCGAAATTACAATAACATGAAGGTTATTGCACAAGGCCCGAAACTTATTTTTAAAGCATTAAGTCGTCAGAGTTGGATTCTCTGTACAACGATCTTCTCTGCAATGAAATTATGTCTACAGTGAATTTTTTTTCTTCAATTTTTTCTGGCCCCTTGAATTTCTTTGTAGAAAGAGAGATTCACGTAGATTATGTTTATAACGAGACTCTATATACTGTATTGGATTGTATGATAAACTCACCACCGAGTCCATCGTCACTCAGCAAGACTTGAACTTCGTCAGAATAGGATTTCGTCGTTCTTTTCACACTGGCGACGACATTGGCAAAGCGAACAGCTCGTTGTCCGACAGTGACGCGGGCATAGAGTGTCAATGACGTGTCGGTGGGGTCACCGACGGCTTTGCCGTCCCACGACGTCCAGCCTTCGACAGCAATCACTTCGTCTTGGGAGGAACCTGCTCCGAATGGCATCCACACTTCCACCAACACTGGTTCTGGAACCACTGCCTGGATCTTGTAAGTCCATTGACCAGTCTAAACGAAAAAAGTTTATAAAAAAAACAAAACAATTATTTAAACATACCAAACGTGACGATAAAAATGTCATTAATAAATCACTGGCAGGCTGATATAAGGTGGACTTGTGGACAAGGACCGAGAGAAATAATTAATCAGTTGGGCCTAAAACGAAGACGACTTTTTCAATCCCCTCAAATAACCCGTGCTGAGATTTGAAAGATTCATAAAATCATATTTCAAACCTTTTTTTTCAGGTTCCCAGTCTCGCCACTTTAGTCTACTTTCCTCTCAATCCCTCTCAAATAAGAATTTTCAATCATGAATTAATTTTCCCCATAAAGAAAACCACTGACTGAATCTCATGTACGTCCACTAACCAGTTGAAAAAGTAAGATGCCATAAAAACTTCACTAATGAATCACTCACAAGCTTCAATAATTGTGGACGAGAATCGAGATGTGGTAAGGAAAAAAAATCAGGCTGGAATATTTATCGATGTTTTTTTTTTTAATTGTTGGCTTCATAAGGACGCTTTTGGAAAATAGACAATTACGGGATTTCGAAAGGAGTAATTTGGAAAAATTTCACGCAATTCGACCTCGTTCATCTCAATCACGAGAAAAAATATGTTTTTTACAAATAGCGAAAAGAGTCCACCATCTATTTACGATTAAAAATAAATATGGCGTCAGTCCGTCCAATTTATTCGTAGGATGAAGCGAAAGCTCATCAAATCGACAAGATCAATTTCAGCTTTCTTACTGCCAATGACTGGATGTCAGCACTTGCAATTTTAAAAGGATTTATCTTGAGAAACGGGACTTGGAAAAGATTTCAGAGTCAATATTTTTCAAATTGCGCTGTCATAGCTGCGGTACTGCACATCTTCCCGAGAGGATTTATGAAAATGATCTCTGTCGCTTTTCGAGAGAAAAGGCACGGGTCAAAGCGTCACGCAGAAAAATATATATAATCACGACATTTGACTAAGACGCAAGATTTTTTTTCTTCTCCATTCCAACTGTAGGCATTATGCGTTAGTGCTGTCAAGAAAATCCAATGACAAAATGGCATTGGCATAGTGATGGTGTTTATTGGTTGACACCCACTTCCGACCCGGCGCCAGAATGTCAAGAAATCCTCTTCCAGCAATCCATGGAATTAGTTGGGACACTCAAAAAAGTACCAGTACTCTAGCCTGTCAGTACTTCACACTAAAGTCATGTTTTCAAAGCCCAACGATAATAATTCACGCAAAAAAAAACCATGGGAAAAAATGTATAAACAACGCGCATCAAATAAACTTTCAAGTTAATCACAGTCCAAAGATGCATTCAGTCCCACGAAATAGAAAATAAGATAAAAACCAAGACAACATTCAGTGAGACTCAAGATGTCTTTCATTTCTGGATTGTGGCAAACATTTCTAAAAAAAAAAATAAATACAGTAATCTCAGATGAATATGGTCTTCCAGAACTCGAATTAAAATCGTGAAGCAAGGAATATCTACTCAAAAATAAGAGCACATGCTTCAAATCTTGAAAATGTACCGTTACACAGAGTCATTCTCTTTATATATTCTCATGCATTTCAGAAATTCCCTTTCATTCATATTTCTACGCAAAAAAAGCAACTCCTTTGAAGATGCTTTCCTCAGATGTACTCATGTCAAGAAAAAATACATAAAACAAAACTGCTTTCAGCAGCTTCAAAAAGAATCTGCTCACAGGAAAAAGCCCTTCCCTCGCCGAATAATTGACACAAGGCGTCGATTGGATTACACGCAAACGCTAATGGGTTTCGACGCTTTGCAATTTTAATGCGTAACTCATTGCGACTTTGTGCCAATTCCTTGCCTCATTTTTTCGACGCGCGCCAAAAACAATTTCGGCCGAGAGCTTTCATGCGGAACACAGAGTCCATCATACATAATGACAAAACCCCCGCTCATCTACTTAATACCCATGTAACAAGAAACAAAAAACGCAGTTGCGGCGGGAACACTTTGAGGTTATTACTTGCTATGCATCAGTAATCTTGTTAAGACGTCGACAAGATCATTCTGCCGAAAAGCTCCTCGCTCGGAAAAAATGCCTCATATTTCTCGTGATCTCATCAATATTTTTTCTGACGGCAGAAAACATCGATTTATATACGAATATAAAAGAACCTTTTTTTTTTTCCTATGCCGCCCAATGCGTAAATACCTAATATTTCGTCAACAATGCAAAAAAGGTGCCATTTTTTGTTTTGTTTCACAAATCGAAAGTTTTTTGAAATTTTTGCGAATAAAGGATTAGAAAATAAGCACTTACCGAAGGACTAGGCCAAGGTTGAACCCGAATAGTTTGGAGAACAGGAGCACGAATTCCACCTTCGCTGCTGGCATGGGGTTCAGGGGTTTCCCCTTGGGGCGACACTATCGACACCTGGCGGGGAACCTCTTTAGAGTGCACTCTCACTAGAAACTCTCCACCAGGACTGGAGTCCACTGGGAAAGTGTCCTCAATCGTCATTGTCTCTCTCAAAGGTACTTTCAACTCCTGGTAAACCTGTAAGAAAGTGGAAAAAAAAGTTTGGCTTCATAAATCTGCTCAATAACATTCAACTTTTGAGCTACAGGAGTTTCAAAGAGGTTCCACTCAAAAATTTTCTTTTTCATTGTTCAAAGCCTGATTAGACAATTCTAAAAAAAAAGAGAAACAGTGACAAACTACGCGCCATTAAACTAACAGTTGGTCAATTCAGAGTCAGGGCATCTCTGCGCCAGGTCAATTGAGAGCCAAAGCCCTTTGGGCAACAAATACTTCGTAGATTTTATGACTAATCCTGCGCCAGAAAATTAAAAAACGAAATTTGAGGTCCTTGCATTGAGTTAACCAAAAACAATTTACCAAAAAATCAAGCATCAAAACTCCATTTCTGCTAATTTTGCTTGAAGCCACAAATTCCATCTAAACAAACTTCCCTTCATCATGCTGATTCGTTATTTGTACAAATTACCCTGGTTTCAGTGTCATTGTTACTAATTGACAATAAATGGTAATAACATTGTAATACAACCACACGCATTTATCTTGTTTTGTGGCCAAGAAACATATATATTCAAGGGGACACATTGAATAAATTTTCCAATTTTTCAAAATGATCTCATTTATAATTTGATCACAAAGATATGACACAAATCAAAAGAAACACAATAATGCTAGAAATCTTTGTTTGAAAAAATCCAAATCAAAAGACATGGATAAAAGAGGCCAAATTAAAAAGGAATAAACGGGGAGCATATCTTCTAGGCTGTGTAGACTGATCTTTAATCCGAATAAAAGTTTGGAAAGGAGGAAAAGCCTTCACTGGGTTTTTCTCAGGGAATCATCATCTCCACAACGCATTTGGTGGCTACTAAATCAAGAGTTGAAAGTTCAACACTGGGTTTCGTCTGGACAAATTAAAGTCTCCAACACGACCCAGGGTGTGCAAAAATTGCCAAAATTATTAAAAAAAAATAACATTATATAAAAATGTACCTTGACAGTGTTGGTAGGTGGAATGATTTTCTCCAGTGCCTCGAGCATCTCAGCCACAGCATGCACGGGGGCATTGCCGTCAATGTCGTTGAGCTCGACACTTTTACCCCCAGACTCGGCGGACGCCTTGGCCAAGACCCCAGTCTTCTTGTCACCGGCGCCACCATCGCCGCCGCCGCCGCCGTCGGTGTCAATGTCTACATCAAAGGCGGCGCCTCGGACTGAATGATGTTGCAGTTGTTGTTGCGGCAAAGTGCGACCGGATCGTGCCAAAGAAGACGCCGATTGCGGGATTATGACAGAGTGGATCGGGATCCCCTTGGAGGCGGCTTCCATGACTGCGATGTCCAGAGAGCGACTGGATTTGCCAAATTGTTCTTGTGCGAAAACGACGATCTCGCCTCTCCTGTCGTCACCAGTCGTCGTCAGCAACTGTTGAAGCAAAAAAATTGTTGACAAAGAAATTAGAATTTATTCATGAACAATATACAGTACGGTAGAAATCTCGTCACAGCGAAGGAATTATGATGAGTTTAAAAAAAGCTTCGTTGCAACAGAAAGTTCGTTACTAAGTAACTCATTCAATAATTGTGGCTATATTGAGCATGGACTTATTGAAACAACTCTGTGAGTGATTATTTGCATGCCATTCAAAACCATAAAGCGGAATTCGGAAAATATTTTCCCCCCGAGGAAATGCAGATTTGTTTCATAAAACCCAAGCCTGCATCGACCAGCTTTCTGTTCTCTTTCATCATGTCACGGAAGTTTGTGAACATTTTGAAGAAAAATATTTTTATATCCGTAAAATATCACCCCAAACATAAATTGAATCACATTTATATTCAATCATCTCACGGAAACGCGCGATAAAAGTTTCACGAGGCATATTTTGTCAAAGTTTAGCGCTGGTCATTCAAATTCGTTAAAGCCAATAACGGTAAGCATGATAAACAAAAAATAATTTTTGATAAAAAAAATTCAATACACCCATCGTAAAGACGATTCTGGGGCTGGGAAATTATGTCCTTTTTAAGAATGAGGAGCTAGAAAAATGAGTACCTCTGGGGTATAAAGTACTGGACATTCGAAAGATGTTGTTCAATAGACCAAGAATTCATTGATTCTTTCTAGGTACTGGTTTTTTTCAACATCTTTTCTCGGTAGTCCGACATTTTCCGGCATTCCCTCAAATTTATTTCCTGTTCAAAAATGATCAAAAGAAAGCCAGCACATCTTTCAAACCCATCATTTCAATTTCAGATTCTTGAAAATTCGATGAATGTGTTCCAAAAAGGCGGAAAAAAATCGAGAGAGCGGAGGCGGTGAAATAACTGGAATATTTTTCTCTTTCTTTCAAAAGTTCCGAGAGAGATTCTTTGAATGATTCCGAACATGTACTGAATATCGAGTTGGAAGAAACTTGCCGGAAATTCCAACGAATTCAGTGCCTTCTTTCAGCCGAGGAGATTCACGCCAGTTGAGACAGAGTCGTTCTCAAGACAGCCTGATCTCTCCTTCTTATTTTATTTTTATTTTTTCGTGACTCAATGGAAACACAGAATGAAGTACAGACATATAGCTAAATAAAATGACAATATATAGAAATAAAAAAGGAAATATCGGGGAGAAAAGTAAGACAATGGGAAGGGGAAACGATTCTGTGGCGTTTATCAACCGCGGAGACAATTTATTCACCCCCGCCGGCAGGGCGTGTGAGCACAGCACTCGAACAATGAACTTTTGCCTCTGACTCAGGGACTTCTTTTCCCCTGGAGTTAATTGCTCCGTTCTGCTTCTCTTTCCAGCAGGCCCAGGGTACTCTCTTCTATATATATACTGTATATACATGTACAGTATGTGGCTACCAAATGGACAACATTGGCCACCCCCCCATAAGATTCCCTAACTTGCATATACACTGTGTCCACTCTCGAGATGCAGTAATTTTCAGTCACACGCGAAGAAGTGCCACAGATTTGTCAACATTTTGACGATTGTTTTATTCAGCAGCGAGAATGAGATTTCGAAATCGACAATAAATAAAGAAAAGAGCCGCAATTTATTTTCGTTAGCTTCGGAATGTCAACATAAATCTTTCGATGTAATACTTGATAATTCCCCCCTAAAATTGTTAAAATTTTGTTGAGATATACAAGCATTCGTCGCTGTATAAAGTTAAATGCAATTTCCCTCACTTTCACATTCTATGAATTTCCAGAGAAAGTGGAAGTAAAAATATAATTCAACGTTTTCCCCGAATCTGAAATATTAACATATAGTAAAATCTTTAATATTGATTGAGGGGGGGGGGGGGGTCGAAAAAGTCCGTTGTCCGTATAATGAATAATCTCTCATAACAAGATTTCCGAAATAATTGACTGGGAACACTGTTTCAAATCAAACCCACATATATTCAATTTCTTAATTTTCTGGGTTTAAGATTTTTTCCATGTTTAGCAAACTAATCTTCGGAAAAATGAACATGTCAATGACGTATTCTCCATTTTTTTCTCAGATCATACGGAATATTGAAAATGGGAAGTATATCATAACAAGATTCTTTCAACATGCAATCTGCCTGGATTTGAAAATTTTTGAATCAATATTCAACTGCTTTCAAGTGAAAATATTTTTTCATTAGTCATCCAGTGTCTGGGAAATTACGTTCATATTTTTCCAACTGGATACTTGTGCAGTTTTAACAAATGTTGATGTCAAGAAGAAATGAAGGCCCTTTGGCATGATTTATTCCTTTTTACGAAAAACCGCGTATATGTTTACATTTATAAAAATTGTCTTTCTGGGGACCTACGGAAGACAAAAATCAGCAAGCAGGGAAAAATCCACCTTGACCGACGGACGGGAGTTCATTCACACTAAGAAAACCGAGCGTCGCCAAATTTGCTCACTCGTGGGCGCAAAAAAAAAAGGCAAGCGAAAGAGACAAATAGCTGTAGGCTTTTTCATCATAGACACACACACACACACACGTACACGCATCTCGCAAATATTTAGCTTGACCCCCCGCTTATAACGAGTCACTTGCCGAAGGAAATAGAAGCAAGGCTTGCTTGCAGCATGTTTGTCTTAGCCGGAAAGGAGAGCAAAGTAAACCCTCAGATGGTCCCCAGAGGAACCCTGAATCACGCCGCAGATTCGACTGCCCACAATTTGCACCTTTCTGGGACTCTGCTAAAAGTTATCAGTTTAACCAATGAAAAAAAAATTGGCACTTCCGTCATTGTTAGAAGACTAACCCGAAATCTGTTACGACATACGTTGAAAATCAGCTTCACGAACGAAAGAAGCTAGATATTAAAGTACGGTGGGCAATTAATCGACCATTTTTATATGATAATCAACGCGGAAACCTTTTCTACCCAGTAAATGAAGGTTAAAATTTCAATTTCTTCCTTGAATTCTGCTAAAAATTACTGTTGATCAATGACAAAAATTTTGGAAATTCCGTAAAGCCGATTTTTGCAATTCAAAAAACAGCCACCCTAAAATGTTTTTGACAAAAGATGGAAAGAAGCTATACATGAAAGTCCGATGCTCTGAAGGGCCAATCAATTGACCAATTTAAACCTTTTCTATCAAAGGAAACTAAGGCTAAAACGGTTATGCCTTTATATATTTCACAAGCTTTGCCATATTGCCCCTGGAAATAATTTTGGAAGTTACGCTTCTAAAATAGAAATAAAAAATTACGAGAAAAGCACGTGGAAACATTTGAATTCCCCAAAAATCTTCGCACGGAAAAACATCCATCTTACGTCATTTCTCCCACAAAAACACTTTCAAAATCATAATTTTGATTTATGTGTGCAATTAGTTGGACGACAAAATAATTTTTATACAAATAGAAAAGAGATCATAGTGTCAGGTTGACAGTTGAGCAACTTCGAAAACCAAAAGGGAAAATATCCCAACGGTCGTCTCAATCTGAAAATGACGTAAGCCATTCAGTCAGTCCAGTCCTAACAATGCAAACTATACCTTTTCTCTCTCTTATACTGTATATCCAGGGTTTTGATAGCCCCAGCAAAGACAATGGGAAACAATGCTTTTGGGGAGAGTGCAATTGTGGCGTCCCGACGGTTGGCATTTCTAGAACAGGACCCCAAAAAACGCTTTGTCTTTCCGGAAACAGTAACTCAGAGTTGATTATTCCGGTCAACAATTCCATCAACGATGTGCCCCCTCTACACAAGAGTGGGTTGTTGATTCCAGACACGCATACCGACCAATTTTTTTTTTATTCATTCGTAAAAGAATCATTCAAATAATGTATGTAGTTGAATAACTAGATAACTCCAACCTCTCCAAGTCAAATACCCACATACTGTATTTTAAAATGTATTTTCTACACCCCCTTTTTTAATTTCATAAAAAACCTCCCCAATTCGAAGACTTCACTCCTGAATAACTCAAATTTTCTGGAGACCTTATTCAGCTATTATTTTATTCACACAGGAAAGATAAAAGCAATGAAAAAATGCAACTTTATGCGTTTTGAAAGCAAGTAAAAGACTAATTCAAGCCCCAGAATATCGCCAATAACAATTTCCAGCAATTCTTCTTCCTTTCACCAAAACAGAAATGTTCGTGTTCCCCTCCTTCGAAATTTTTATGGTCTCCTAAAATGCGACTGTATTTTGAAAGCTGCCCAACAGAGTGAGGAGAAAGAGACACAGAAAAAAAAGGTTCCCGGGTTTTGTTCCGGGTTATTTGCGGAAGAACTCACGGGCCACCCGTGGGTTTCTTCCGGCGGGCAATTTCTCTCTGCGCACTCGGCCCCGTCGACGGGCATTATTCCCGATTTATCGACAGTGACGATCGAGCAGTGGAATATGCAAACAACAAGAATAAAGACTGCAAGAAAAAAAAGGCCACGTCGGGGTTCCTCCTTCCGAACATCACATCCGAGAACCCTGTGTGGCCTTCAATCGATTTCCACTCTTCGCCAAATAATAGGATTTTTTTATTCCGACGGAAATTTTACGGCGAAAAAATTTCGAAAAAACACAGTTGAGATCTGGTGAACTGTTATCAACTCTACAGTTTTTCGGGAGAGGAAATCACGACATGAACGGAAGTTGAGTTGGTAAATCAGGAAGGATTTCCGGGAAGGGATGCTTCCTTCAAATTAATATCACTCACTTAAGCCTGAGTTTCGTTTTCCAGCGGAAAAACTTGGGAAAAATTAGATCTTAAGAATTTGAACCGGAATTCTTCCAAAAACATTTTGATACTGTAAAAATTTTCTTCGTGAAACAGCTGAAATATCGAGGAGTGCGTTTTCATCCGAAATGCTCATAATCGTTTTTCGCATTTTTAAGATGCGAAGCTTTTCGAATTACTGCGAATTTCTTCGTAAAAATGAGAAAGGCATTGAGAATACTTGAAGAATGGAGTACTTGCGCAATTTCCGGCAGAAAATCCTTCTGGCGAGGATGAATAATTCGCACATTCTTCCGTTTTCTGTGTTCTATTTGGGGGAATGGAATGAATAATTTTCTAATTAAAAAAAAAATGTGTTCAAGAAAATAATTATAGCCCTTCTATGACGATTTTTTTTCTCGCGAGACTTCAAAGAAACACCCCACAGATTTTCGCATGCGACTTTCTTGAAAGCTTGTGGCATTGAATGCGAAATAAAATTTCTTTTATTTCTTACCTGAAGATAAATTTTTTTTTATCTAGTAATCGTAATCAATCCACATTAACCAGATGGAACTTCGGAACTCCCGGAAACTGGCGTGAAAATTTGTCTAAACTTTCTACTGGAATTTTCGTGTGAACTCCACCGGATTTTCTGGCCTTTCAGGAAACCGATCTTCACAATTCTTTTTCTTTTTTTCCATTCGAAGATGTACAACGAGAAGAAAAGTCAAGTAGAAAAGACGAGGCTTGGGAGAGAATTTCGATTTCAAGCTTTGCTGCTCGCGGACAAAAGAAGAAGAGGACGAAGAAATTTTCTCCGTGACTCCATAGTAGCTCGAAAGAACACAAAAGACCCCCAGAAGACGATAGAGGTGCGAGATCGATCCGGAAATTGACCATTTCTGATCTTTCGAATAATAAAAAATATAATATAAATAAATCCATGGGATTCAACCCGAGCGTTTTTTTAAACGACGGCTCGCGTGAGTAACGGAAGTTAATGCGAGGAAAAAGATTTCGGCTTCCATTTGAAAATTCCATCTTCACAAAAATCCACGAAGCGTGACTCTAAACATTTCACAGCAGGCAAAATACACGAGCATGCGTAGATAAAAAAATCACATTAAAGTCCCCGTTAAACAAATAAACTTGTGAGTCATAACATCCATTACTGAAATTCCACTCCTCAACATTTCTAAATAAAATTAAAAATATACTTAAAATGTATAAATAAAAAATGAGATGATAAAAACAGCCCGTGAGGGAAACTTGAGAATTGAAGACAACGAAATCAACTGAAATCTTGATATTGAAAGATAACGATAATAGATTTTTAAAATGTTAAGCGTTTTCTGCCATATTTTTTTTCGCCAAAATACCAGGGTCAGGTCTGCGGGCAACATTACTAAATGCCGAATCGCGTGACGGAAGAACGTGCGCATTTTTTCTCTTACTGTCCTCGCAAAACAAGTGATTTGGCCGGAAGTCGTGGGCCGGAAATGGTCGTTATTCCGCCGCCGAGAAGGTAGTGCAACGTACGCACTAGATTCGTACGGAATTTTTGCACACGAGGAAACAGCGACGAAAACACTTGTTTCGATTTCCGTGTCATGCATTTTCATTCACGCTTTTCTTTTCTTTTATTGGCAAAGGGCGTTTCCGCTTGCACAAGACTGAATTATCGCGTGTTTGTAGACGTCAGACCCGCGGTTGAGTCGATATGAAATTCATTACCGAGTCGGAATTTTTTTTTTCAATGTATCTTTCCTCTCAAGATATCCTGGGATGCATTCTTTAAAATATACCTTATAAAACATTATTAATGAAATATGAAAGTTCCTCCGATGTCTCAAGGCCTGAGTCAATCTGCACGATTTTCAGACCAATATTTCAACCGCTGTCAGCAACTTTTCATCACAGATTTGAATTTCCAGAAATAAACGTCCTTCAAGCTTCCGAAAATTGAATTTTCGCCACTTCCAGTCTGCTCATTCAAATGGTGCAAAATATTTGACAGTGCCTTTTTATAGTGATACCTTGAGGCTCTTCAGAATTCCCTTCCTCAAAAATATGGCAAATATTCTACATAATAAAAGCTGAAATTAAAAAGCGTCCTCTAAAGTCAGAATTTTCTGGATTTTTCAGTGAGCAAAGCTGAAATGGAATCCGTCCAACGGAAGTTCAGGAAATTTATTTTCCAACGAGTACTGGATTAAATGTGCAGAAGATTCCAGAGGGCTTTCTGGGCTAATCTGGCTTTCCAGNCGGGCCACCCGTGGGTTTCTTCCGGCGGGCAATTTCTCTCTGCGCACTCGGCCCCGTCGACGGGCATTATTCCCGATTTATCGACAGTGACGATCGAGCAGTGGAATATGCAAACAACAAGAATAAAGACTGCAAGAAAAAAAAAAAGCCGCGTCGGGGTTCCTCCTTCCGCACATCACATCCGAGAACCCTGTGTGGCCTTCAATCGATTTCCACTCTTCGCCAAATAATAGGATTTTTTTTTTATTCCGACGAAAATTTCACGGCGAAAATAAATTTCGAAAAAACACAGTTGAGATCTGGTGAACTGTTATCAACTCTTCACAGCTTTTCGGGAGAGGAAATGACGATATGAACTGAAGTTGAGTTGGTAAATCAGGAAGGATTTCCGGGAAGGGATGCTTCCTTCAAATTAATATCACTCACTTAAGCCTGAGTTTCGTTTTCCAGCGGAAAAACTTGGAAAAATTAGATCTTAAGAATTTGAACCGGAATTCTTCCAAAAACATTTTGATACTGTAAAAATTTTCTTCGTGAAACAGCTGAAATATCGAGGAGTGCGTTTACATCCGAAATGCTCATAATCGTTTTTCGCATTTTTAAGATGCGAAGCTTTTCGAATTACTGCGAATTTCTTCGTAAAAATGAGAAAGGCATTGAGAATACTTGAAGAATGGAGTACTTGCGCAATTTCCGGCAGAAAATCCTTCTGGCGAGGATGAATAATTCGCACATTCTTCCGTTTTCTGTGTTCTATTTGGGGGAATGGAATGAATAATTTTCTAATTAAAAAAAAATGTGTTCAAGAAAATAATTATAGCCCTTCTATGACGATTTTTTTTCTCGCGAGACTTTAAAGAAACACCCCACAGATTTTCGCATGCGACTTTCTTGAAAGCTTGTGGCATTGAATGCGAAATAAAATTTCTTTTATTTCTTACCTGAAGATAAATTTTTTTTTTTATCTAGTAATCGTAATCAATCCACATTAACCAGATGGAACTTCGGAACTCCCGGAAACTGGCGTGAAAATTTGTCTAAACTTTCGACTGGAATTTTCGTGTGAACTCCACCGGATTTTCTGGCCTTTCAGGAAACCGATCTTCACAATTCTTTTTTCTTTTATTCCATTCGAAGATGTGCAACGAGAAGAAAAGTCAAGTAGAAAAGACGAGGCTCGGGAGAGAATTTCGATTTCAAGCTTTGCTGCTCGCGGACAAAAGACGAAGAGGACGAAGAAATTTTCTCCGTGACTCCATAGTAGCTCGAAAGAACACAAAAGACCCCCAGAAGACGATAGAGGTGCGAGATCGATCCGGAAATTGACCATTTCTGATCTTTCGAATAATAAAAAATATAATATAAATAAATCCCTGGGATTCAACCCGAGCATTTTTTAAACGACTGCTCGCGTGAGTAACGGAAGTTAATGCCAGGAAAAAGATTTCGGTTTCCATTTGAAAATTCCATCTTCACAAAAATCCACGAAGCGTGACTCTAAACATTTCACAGCAGGCAAAATACACGAGCATGCGTAGATAAAAAATCACATTAAAGTCCCCGTTAAAACAAATAAACTTGTGAGTCATAACACCCATTACTGAAATTCCACTCCTCAACATTTCTAAATAAAATTAAAAATGTATAAATAAAAAATGAGATGATAAAAACTGCCCGTGAGGGAAACTTGAGAATTGAAGACAACGAAATCAACTGAAATCTTGATATTGAAAGATAACGATAATAGATTTTTTAAATGTTAAGCGTTTTTTGCCATATTTTTTTCGCCAAAATACCAGGGTCAGGTCTGCGGGCAACATTACTAAATGCCGAATCGCGTGACGGAAGAACGTGCGCATTTTTTCTCTTACTGTCCTCGCAAAACAAGTGATTTGGCCGGAAGTCGTGGGCCGGAAATGGTCGTTATTCCGCCGCCAAGAAGGTAGTGCAACGTACGCACTAGATTCGTACGGAATTTTGCACACGAGGAAACAGCGACGAAAACACTTGTTTCGATTTCCGTGTCATGCATTTTCATTCATACTTTTCTTTTCTTTTATTGGCAAAGGGCGTTTCCGCTTGCACAAGACTGAATTATCGCGTGTTTGTAGACGTCAGACCCGCGGTTGAGTCGATATGAAATTCATTACCGAGTCGGAATTTTTTTTTCCAATTTATCTTCCTCTCAAGATATCCTGGGATGCATTCTTTAAAATATACCGTATAAAACATTATTAATGAAATATGAAAGTTCCTCAGATGTCTCAAGGCCTGAGTCAATCTGCACGATTTTCAGACCAATATTTCAACTCGACAGTCGTTGAAAAGTAGTGTCTAAACTTAAAGGTCTTTATTTGCAGGAAGTTCGAAGGCTTTTAACTT